AGAGCCATTATGGCTCTTGAATGTGATAGAAGATGTTTGCTATTTTTTGGGTGTACGTATATTTAGGCTATCAACTCGATGTAAGATGTTTCACTCTAAAATAACTTATCCTTTCCCTCAAAAGTCACATGAATGTGCCCTTAAGCTAACTGATTTGTGGATTACAAGTTTATTGTTTGATTTAAAATATAAATTTATTAATGGGAGCTTCGCTTTTAGCCCTGGCTAAATCTATATATTAGGAATACATGTCCTCAGTGACGGATTTTACAAAGATGGTTCAGTACCCACTAATGACAGTGTATATGTACAAATTGTCTGACTGGCTAAAAGATAAGCAATAACGGTAACATACAGTGTTTATGACAATAAATGTCTTCTGTTTCAGTTTATTTACTGTTTCTTGCATGTTATCATCGGCGGCCTGGTCACTGTCATTGTCACTCATATCATCAGCCTCGCTTCCGCTCTCATCAGAGTCAATTCTGACGCCTGAACGTCCACCCTCTTCGACGTGGTTTTTCTTCGTCTGTATTTCTCATGCCAATGTTTTCCAAAGCCTCCTCTTGCTCCTTTTCCAAGGCCAACAGAAGATCACTACCAAACTCATCTGGCACCAAATCTAGTAACGTACATTTTGCACGATGACTAAAGTGGTCCAATAGATATACCAAATGCTTTAACTTTGATTTTGTAATACGGAGATACCCCTCCCTATCGACTTTAATTTCGCAATCGGGGATAAGGAACCCATTTGCAATATACTCTTCCCTGACTTCTTGACTACAAATTTGGTCAAACAATTTTCAACATTTCGCTTGAAAATTTTTTCTTTTCTCTTCTTATTTTTCTTCTTATTTTTCTTCTTCGTCTTTCTCAGAGCGCCACTAGAAGAACTTTTCTCCCTTGCACCATAGCCTCTTCGCATTTATCCACCATCTGTTGTATGTTTGCATGAAGTGCCCTCAGTTCTTCAATGAACTTCAAGTTGCCATCATGGCTGAACTGCGTCCAATCCAGTTTAAGGTGTCTGCCTTGATTATCAAAGAGGGCCTGATCATGTGTTTTAATTTCGTTGGTCAAATTTTCAATACCCGTCTTCAGTAACACAAGACGTT